ACAGGCATAAATCTGTACACACTCTCCTGCTGCATTGCTCGATGCTCGCACATGTCTGCTATACATACAATCGATGTTCTCTTAACTCAAGTTTACACAAGATTGCTTATATTTGTGTAGCATGTGTCAAAAGTTCTTATGCATTATCGTCTTCAAGAAGAATGCACTGATTGCTTGCTGTCCATATATGACATCGTAATAGGTGTCATTCATATCAAATTTTGTAATATAATATAATATTGCAATAACCGATTGTCAATCAATTTCAACGCGTACACATACGCACTCACACACATACATATGCGTCATTATATTTGACATTATTATTATTATGAAATTATTTGATAAAAAATTTCTATCCAATAATATTTTTCTCCTTTTGCCTTGCTTACCATTTCAATAATAACTAGTTCCTGTAATTGATATTTAAAAATATTAGGTTGTCAAATATCTCCCTTCCGCTTTTTTGCTCTTGCTTTATAATACAAAAAGGCAGAAGGGAGATATTTGACAACCTAATATATGCGTTATTATCATCACATTCTTATTGTTATCAAATTATTTGATAAAATTTCTTCTATCCAATAATATTTTTCTTCTTTTGTCTTGACTATCACTTTAATAATAACGAGTAATCGTATTTGATATTTAATTATCTTTGCGTTATTATCATCATTTGACAATCATATTGTTCTAAAATTATTTGATAAAAAAAATTCTATCCAGTAATATTTGTCTCCTCTTGCCTTGATTACAATTTCAATAGTTCCTGTAATTGATGTTTAATTATATTTGCGTTATTATCGTCATTTGACAATCTTATTGTTTTAAAATTATTTGATAAAATTTCTTCTATCCAATAATATTGCTCTTCTTTTGTCTTGACTAGCACTTCAATAATAACGAGTTTTCGTAATTGATATTTAATTATATTTGCGTTATTATAGTCATTTGACAATCTTTTTGTTTTAAAATTATTTGATAAAATTTCTTCTATCCAATAATATTTTTCTCCTTTTGCCTTGATTACCGTTTCAATAATAACTAGTTCTCATGATTGATATTTAATGTTATATGCGCTATTATCGTCATTTGTCATTTTTATTATTATAAAATTCTTTGTTAAAATTTCTTCTATTCAATAACATTTTTCTCCTTTTGTCTTGACTATCACTTCAATAAAAACTAGTTCCTGTTATTGATATTTAATGATATATGCTCTATTATCGCCATTTGACATTCTTATTGTTGTAAAATTATTTGATTAAATTTCTTTTATCCAATAATATTTTTCTTCTTTTGTCTTGACTATCACTTCAATATTAACGAATTTTCATAATTGATATTTAATTATTTTTGCGTTATTATCGTCATTTGACAATCATATTGTTTTAAAATTATTTGATAACAATTTTTCTATCCAGTAATATTTCTCTCCTTTTGCCTTGATTACCGTTTCAATAATAACTAGTTCTCATAATTGATATTTAATGTTATATGCGCTATAATCGTCATTTGTCATTTTTATTATTATAAAATTTTTTGATAAAATTTCTTCTATTCAATAATATTTTTCTTCTTTTGTCTTGACTATCACTTCAATAAAAACTAGTTCCTGTTATTGATATTTAATGATATATGCTCTATTATCGTCATTTGACATTCTTATTGTTGTAAAATTATTTGATAAAATTTCTTCTATCCAATAATATTTTTTCCCTTTTGCCTTGATTACCATTTCAATAATAACTAGTTCTCATAATTGATATTTAATGTTATATGCGCTATTATAAAATTATTTGATAAAATTTCTTCTATTCAATAATATTTATCTCCTTTGTCTCGGCTATCGTTCCAATAACAACGAGTTCTCGTCATTGATATTTAATGATATTTTTCTTATCACTTTTAAATATTAAACAAAAATATAATTTGATTTCTATTATTCGCAATGAGTCACCTAACCGCACGTAGATTCGTATATCTATATTATGGCAGGATTATGTTTTTAATTTGACCGAGATAATGCAGGCTAAAAGCTCAAACATTTTAGATACATAAAAATCAATAGAAAATATAAATAACTTTATTAATAATCAAAATGTCTATTGTGTATCATGCAAAAGTTTTGAAAAAGCCATTTTATGATAGTACTTTTATTGATAACTTTCTAATATTTTATTTATTTATTTATTTATTTACACGCCAATCGGCTTTATGATTTTGTACGTTTATTTCTATGTTTGAAGTATCTAAGTTTCATATAGTAAATATATAGGACTTAAAGATCCGCGGATAAAAAGGTTCATCACCGACATCATCAGGAAATAAGCCGCAATGTTTGAAAATCCATAACAAACATATTTTCTTTCGTTGTTCGTTTTTTTTGGTCGTGAGCGCTGTTGTTTAGTTTACGGGACCTTAATAAAAGTTTTAAATTCAAATTTTTATATTATTGTGTTTTAAGTTACGTTTGGCAGACAACTTCTATAAAGCTTACACATGAGTAGAGTAAGAATGACCAACCTTCACCTGGCAAAGTTGTAAACAATAAAAACTAGTAAATGATAACGTTAATTAAATTAAAAAAGGCAAATTTCAAAAGAGTTAAATTAAATAAATATTTATTCCAACATTGATTATGAATATTTCTGAGGTAATACCAGTTCAAGGTTATGCACCCATAAAATTTATATTTTGCATTCATTGAATAATGTAGCTATTATTTTGTAAAATCTCTTCAAAATTAAAAATAAGACATTGGACTCCGCCTATGAGGTAAAAAGGACCTGATGATAATTTTTTGAAAAACTGGTACTTTACTGAACATAGTAATAGTTCATAGAACATAGATAGCTGTTTGTTTGATGTGATATATTTGATTTGGTTTTCGCAATTGCTCGAAATCAAATTGTACCTTTTTTGACCCGCCCTATCCTATTGTGGTTCAACACGAATCATTTATAAAAAGACCAACACAGCTTTTATGAAATTAGATAACTGATTGTGAGACTAAACAAAATTTAAGTATTTCATTAGAAATATATCTGCTTGCTTCCTCTATCTATAAAAAATATTAGCTTATCTTGTAACATTACTCCATGCTATTTTTTATATTTATTACACCTTGACAAAAACTTTAAGCCGTGAAATGTCTTGTGAATAAAAAAATATGTTATTATGAATATTGTTTTAAGTATTATTATCTTTAAGATTAATGAATTATTCTTATAGTTTGTAAGACAATTTTAATGACTTACACACATGTTTGGGTTTGTGATTGGCTTCTATGCCTTACGTAATTTAGACAATGACAATGAACCAAATTTTACTCGACGTTTGAATAGAATTCTTTAATATACACATATAATTTATGATGCGTGCTATCAGGTGTTTCTGTACGACTATTACCGATTCTAACTAACTACAAATATGCATGAGATCTGTCATAATGGCCTTTTGAAAATTGCGTCTTTGAAGTACGACAGCGCTTTAAGAATTGAAAGTGACTTTACTTTTTATTTACCTTCGGGCTAGATATATTGATCGCATAAAATTCTTCACGGGTCATTTAGCGTGAATATAAACTTGTTCAATAGCCTGGAAAACCATTATTTATGCGCATTTGTAAGCTTTTGCAGCCAGCTTCTTCAGCGAATAGTATTCGAATCTTTCATTCAAGAATAAACATATTTGACACCATTTTGGAATCAAGTAATACATTAACTGTAACATTCAATAAGTGTTTTGTTTTACTTGAACGATTTTTAATATAATAAGCAAGATTGATATGCATAGCGTATATTCGTAATTATGAGCTTGCACAACGTGTTCTGATCTATGAATGACTTTTTTGTATTACTCATTATGGTTTGATTTCAGTAATTTAAATGCTTATAAATCCATAATAAATCTTGTAGATTCCAGACATTATGACTGCAAACAAATTCTGCTCTCATATGTATACATTTCATATGCAGAATAGAAAGTGAATACCACATAACGTATTCAAATATGATATGGTAATGCTTGAGTATCAATAAAATAACGATTTTCGAATATTTAAATAATAAAACATCGGGTAATAAAGAATCTATCTGTTCGATTTGATTTTATCTGTTTACGTCGCAGAAAATTTTAAAATAACGTATATTTAATAATATGTAATATTCAAATTAACGCATGTTTGTGTAGTTGTTAATTAAGTTTAAGAAGAGTAGAAGGGGCTTAAAGGTCCGCGGGTAAAAAGATCCACCGATATCTCAAAAACAAGTGGAGTTAGATGAAAAAAGATGTATAACCAGCCATCACCGAGATAAAAGGCAAGGTTTGACAATCCATAACAAAAGTATTTTCTTTTGTTTTTTGGTTCTGGGCGCTGTTATTTAGTTTACGAGATCTTAATATAATTTTTAAGTATATGTTATTTAATTGTTTTATAACATATATTGTTAATTTAAACTCAGATTCAACAGTTTTTGTATATTTTACCTATAAGAGCTTACACGTGAGTGAGGTAGAAAGGACCAACTGAACTTTTACTCTGGCAAAGGTGTGAACAATAAAAAATTGTAAATAAAAAAGTTAATTGAGTTAAAGAAGCAATATTATAAGAGATAAATTATATAAATAGTTATTCCACCATATCAATGTTATATACAGTGTTTCTGTTTTTCTGTAAATAAATGTACTCATGAAATTTATATTTTGCATTGGTTGAATATAATGTATCTATTATTTTGTTATTTTTTTTTTTTTAAATTAAAAATAAGGTTGTTTGAGTTGTTTGTCCCCCGTCCCATTTTACCCCTCTTATGGGATGAAAAGGATTTAGGTTACAAAAACAGCAAAAAAACAAATTTGTTTGGTTTTCATGGCCAAATTGGACCTTTGTGCCCCTACCTTACCCAATTTCGTTTGTCAATGAAATTTATCAATACTCCTACCTTCCTTTTTATTTTATTGCAACAATTAAATATGTTTTTTTCTTTGATCCATAGCCGGACACCGTGCCGCAAGCCTCGATCGACATGAACGCCGTTTTGGAGGTGGCGTCCGCCGACGATGTGACCGGCAACGCGTACAGCCTGGCGGTCACCGCGCCTGACCGTGTACATTTCGTGAAGGCTGCTTGCCGGGAAGAGGCGCGCTGGTGGATTGATGTACTCGCAGTCTTTCCGAGATCAAAGGTTTGCTATTTATTTTATACAAAATTATTTTATCAATAGATTAAATGGTTGAATGATGCAAATACTACCTGTATTAGCCCCTATGCTATTGTATCAAGTATTTTTGTATTATCACCCGATTGACAAAAAATAATCTTGAAATTTTTTATAAAGGCAAGAAATTAAAAGAAAATTATAGGATATAAATAAAAATACAATAGTTAAATAAATTGTAACGTGCACATTAAAGCATTATGATTGAAGTACAATCAGTGGATCGTAGATCTCGAGAAACTTGTTGAATAATATATCTAACTATTCAAAAATTTACGTTTACTTTCGTATAATATAATTTATATGAAGTTTTATCCTTCAAATTATGTATGTATTCAATAAATTAGCTCTAAGAATTTTAATATTTATTTAGAATGTATTAGATTATTAAGTTGTGTTTGATGAACAGATGAACATTTTATTTGATAAATTTGAATACAGAACTCTATACATGTAAAAATTGTGATTAATGTAACTATGCGAAAATGCAACTTATTTATTGTTTATATATATATATATATATATATATATATATACAGTTTGTTTTATTTTGTTTTGATACTATTCAATTGTTCACTGGAAATTTTATTATTTGTCTTTCTTTTTAATATACCTAATTATTAATTTGAAATATCGATATGTTAATGTGTGGTGTGCTATATATTGCAAATTATGGCGAACGCAAAAAACACATGCTTTATTTAAAATTACGGGCGTTATTAATTTGTATTGTATGCAAATCGAATCATGTTCGTCTGAGATCGCAGAAGTTACGGATTGGAAATTTCCGAGTCATTTTGCGAGTGAAACTAATTCGGCAAGTGCGAAACAGATTCGCCCACATAATGTCAGCTACCAAGGAAACTTGAAAGCTTTATCTTCTTGTCTTAAATATTGAAGATGGATGACTTCATTACAAAGAATATGTTTTTCTTTCTTTATTATGATATGGTCTGAAGATTTTATTTAGCATTGTATTACTGACAGTACATTGTTAATTTAAAGTGAAGCATGGACATCATTTTGTATCTAGATTAATTGCTAATAAATATCTATGTGGATATTACCAAAGGTCCGATAATACATATATAAATATAAAATATTTTTAACCTTGGTTTGCAGATTAGTTTATGCTACATATAAAACTTTTATAAATGTTTCTATTTATAAACTATTAATTTACGTAAAGAAAGATCCGATTGTGCCATCGTGTCCACTATGATTCGAATTTAACTTTTAATAAAATGTGCACTTTCAAATCCAATACTACTGCTGCATATTTGCATGTACTCATGTATTTCTGATTAATAGCACGATGGTGTAGTTTCTCACAAATAACTTCATTCTACTTTTTGCTTCAAAACATTCAGTGTATGTTAATGAACTAAATATACAATTCATAGGCAAATGCACAGGAGTGCATTATAAAAACAATTACCACGTATTACATAGATCTCTTTCACATTCATCATAATGTCTAAAAACGTGTTCATCTTCTTGAGCAAAGTAAACAAACAAGTTTACACGCGCCAAAGTGCTTTGAAAGTTTTACAGCTTTTTGCAATTACAAAGGGCATGTGTAAATATTCTTGAGTTGGCATCGCCTCTCATTAAATATATTAATAGCGCAAAACTTATTTGCACTATGGTAAAATAGTTTAGCGTTAACGAATTTTATTTTTTATGTTATATTTATATGTTATATTTATATTTGTATATTTATTTATTTTTATGTTATTTTATATTTGTTTTGCCGATTTGTCTATGTTGTCGCATTTGACCAAGCAGTTAGTTCTTGTCCATTATGACCATTTTATAATATCAATATGAATTGTATTATGACTTTTTATATGTTTATTATCGCAAAATAATCATTTATTTTTGTAAATAAAAGAACACTAGAAAACCATAAAAATATTATAGTAGTAAAATCATATTATAGCTACATGTGGAAAAGTGAATTATAATTATTTAATGAACTTTTAAATTCAAATCTTGATGATAATTTAAATTAATACGAATATATTTAGGATTGGCTTGAACTATCGTAATCTCTCTTTGCCCTCTGCCCATTATTCAGTTTTTTCTAGAAATTGGGCAAAATAAATTTATTATAATTTTAATCAGTCTATCGTTCGTTCGCCGTGAACGGCAGCATCTTCTACAGAATATTATTGGTGCTGAGTATCATATACTCTAAACTCTTCTTCGGGTGTAGACAAGCCGTTAATTAGTTTCCCACTATCAGACGCGCTGGGCCCGTAATTGCATCAAGCTATTTTAATTGCATGGCGCAAAGATCGATTCATCAGACTTATGTGCTCACCTTACTCTAAATTATATTCATATACACAAGATGATGTGTAGCATCAATAATAAATACGTAACGTGTTCATATAAATTAAATTTCGTGTTTTAATATACTATTTTTGCTTCTTACAATGAATAATTTATAGTAATAAGTACATATTGTTAGATTAGAAATTCAGAGCGCTTATAGATTTAGACAGTAATGTTTTATGTTTGCTTTAATCCTTTCCTCTATTTGTATTTGTTCAGAAACAAAAATCTCTTTTCATAAGATTAATATATAATAATATTATATATAATAATATATATATATATATACATATTTATTTATTTATATTTGTGTGTATATATTATTTAATTCATAATAAAAATTGATCATTCAGAACAGTGATTCCCAAACTTATTTGACCTACTCTTTCCAGAAAAAATATTACCTAACGTCCCCGGATTTTTATTTATTTCAATAGCGATTAATATTATTATATCTATGAAAAGAGGTATTAACGAGTATGAAACCAATTTTGATGAGGCGCACTTTAAGAAATTATGAAGCATTTCGGAAAAAAATAATTTCATCAGTGTACTAATTTTCTAGGACTGCTAGTCTGTGTATTGAATTTTACAAATATATATTCGTCATAAGATATAATATGTCTGTAAATTTCGTTCAAAAAAATTATTCAATTAAAGAAATATCGATTATCCCTTATCGTCTGTTCGCAAAATTTACAATAAAATTCATGTTAACAAATTTTGGAAACATTTTTAAATTTATAAAACTTAACTTACATTAGTTTGTTTTATTTAAAAATGTGTTACCATTTTTGTATTTTTGTTTTGTTATATGCTTTCACTGTCCCCTACAGCTGGTCATCGTCCCTACTAAGTCACTTATGACCATCACTGCCCCCCCCCCCCCCCGGTTCCCAGCAAGGTCTGCTTTGGGAATCACTGGTTTATAACATAGAATATCATATAACTATTTCCATTATTACAATGATCGGTTTTACAAAACTATTTCGAAGTAAGACATGAGTACTTTTGAACAATAGTTTGAAAGTTTTATTGTCAGTTATATATAAATTTCAAAGTTAAAATTTAATAATGATATTGGTTATTATTTTGATTCAGGGCCGTCATAAGCGCAATGCTACATTTCCTGGAGGGCAATCTTCAGCTACTACTGCCAGTTCGACAAATAATGCAAGAGGTAACAAAATTTATTCGTTACGGATAAATGTGGTTATACGTTTCGTTTTATATAACTGATTTGAACAGTTTTAATAAGAATGTGATTAGTTTTACTGAAAAATGAACAATTTATTTCGAATGAATTAAAATGGATGATTGACAAAATATTTGATATTATTTTATTCGTAGCGGCTAGTGGTGCGCCAGCTGCAAGTAGGCCCCGTCACAATTCGTGTCACTCGGATGCGCCTGGCAGCATCAGCTCCTCCCGCACGAGCGTGTGGACCGGCGAGCAGTCGCCGTCGTCTACGAATGGGCAGCCGTTACCGCCGCCATCGCAACTGCCCTGCAAAGCAACGAACAGCCCTGCGGGACCGCACGCCCCGACCATAGTATCGGCACATGCTAAGATCCCGGACAACAACAACCGGCCGTCTAGTCCGCGATCACGTGAGTTTTCATTACTTACTCTTTTCATCATTCCCAAAGCAATGCGAACCCATGATTTACTACTTCGCTACGGCGGCGGTCGTTACATATTCATCCTTTTTCGCAATAAATCGTAACATGTATCAAAACCTGATTGGTTCCGATGCATGATCGGCGAATCATATCTAATGTACAAGTTTTAAGATGCACGAGAAACAAGAATTACACTTTGCATTTTTTATATATTTTTATTTTAAAATTTAAATAATCGTAAAATAACCTGCTGCTTTGCTAGTAAAATAAGCAACGTTTCGAACAAATCTAACTACTAAATCGGATTAACTGATTAAAAACATATATGAAAGTAAAACAGATTTTTGGATTTATATTTTGATAGTATTTTTGTGTCAGTTGTAATATATAAATATAATGAATGACAAATGCAAATGAATTAAACGGTCTACTTTATTTTACTAAAACAAGAAAATAGTGTATGATTTAATATGGATACTTGCTGTTATAGTACCAAAAGTCGCGTGCAACAAATAAGTTTTATTTTGAATCCTTGCTGCTACTTATTGTTAGATAAGATGACTTAAAATAGAATTGGTAAGCATGACTCAAATGAATGTCAAGTTTAAGAATCGGTCGAGAGTAATTCCTATTCCTCAATTGCAAGTGAGGAAATCACGCCACAATTATGTGAAAAATATAATAATATTTGCATTCGTTTGAGAACTTTCTCGCTTGCTACGTATCTCTAAAGACTGTCGGGTCTGAGCGTATGCAATGGAAGTTAAAACGGATATTGAAAGAGCAGTATTGGTAAATACATGTAATTATTGGCGTATTGCAAATCTGCATTATGCGGCAGGAGTCGAGAGTCGGGAGTCGGGGCGTTCGAGGGATCTTTTTCAATGCAAGAAGTAAGACTTATAGAGGTATCATTAAGTGCTTGGCCTCAAGTACTGATATCTCGGTAATTGCGAAGGTCAACAAGATTTTTCTCACGCACTGTTCACCGGGTCGCGCCTAGATATATTCACTGCGTCGTGTTTTGTTATGTCGAAACGTTCGAGAATTATATAAGCATTAATATTAATGCATCGAAGCATCGTGCAGCGAAGTTCTATTTACAATAATTAATTACACTTCATTACGACGCACGTATTATTGTTTGGATATTATTACCTTTTACACGAAATCGTTATTACCGAAAATAGTAAGATATCTTTGACATAATTTGGACAATAAGTAAAAATGTTAGAATTATTGTTATACTTGTTAACTACCCAGAAGTGCGAGAACTAGGATGCATTCCGATCTTGATGTTTTGTTATATATTTTTTTATTTTTGCTTGTACAGTAGAATTTCGATTATCCGGACTAATTGTTGTCGATAGGCTTCCGGATAATCGAAAATCCGGATAATCCAAATTATGAAGAATAATGTTTTTTTATCAAAAATAACAAATACATACATAGATATCAACAAAAATCAATCCACTACTTGCCACAAACGATTCATCGCCGCCTATTTTTTCATTTAACTGTAATGCCTTTTCACAGAGCAAAGGTCCAGATATCGGTTGCCCTTTTGATCGTTTTTGTAAAAACCAACAATATAGAGCTTCTTCTAAGAGTTCATTTTTCGGTCTTCATCATTTTCCGATTTTCACTACCCTCTTCACTATCTAACTTGCAAGTGTACGACAAAATTGAATCGGCATTCTTTTTAATATCGCTTATATATTAAATTAAATATTGAATTAAATAGTGGATGTACCTACACCATACCTATCAACTAACTTACGGCCGGTTTTGCCTTTTTTAATGATTGTATGTATTTATTTTATCTTTAAGGGATAACACCACCCTCTTACGCTTCGGCATGTTTAAAAATGTATATATGCACGTCAAAACAGAGAATGTATTAATGTATATATGCACCTCAGAACACAGTCACTATTGCAAACGAACTACATACATGAATATGCAAGTTCCGACGCGATTATGTCCGGATAATCGCGAATCCGTATAACCGAGGTCCGGATAATCGAGGTTCTACTGTATTATATTACATAATATACATTGGGAATAAATATCACTATAATATGCAAAATTTAAACAGTAAATTATAAATACTGCATCTGCAAATGATATATGAGTATATATGGTTCGGTTTACTAAATAAAAGTTGTTTTTTTTTAATATATAAACTTATATATAAATATATAAGTTTTCAAGGGTATCTAAAAACTGCAAATCAAAGGGTAAAAAAATATTATCTTAACAATAATTTCTGAAATGAACACTATATATAAGAATCAATCTTATAATATTTTGTACGATTAATTTTGTAAATTGTTTGTTTACTTATTATTCTCAATGTATCAACAGCTTATAACGACCAGCCGATGTCTTCGGCTTCACCTCCCACCAGAGATAAGATGCACAGCGAGGACAAAGCGCGCACGCGTCGGGAGAAGCGCTCCGGACGACTTCCGGCGCGACACCACGAACCGAAGACCGCACAGGATACCACAGGTATAATCGCCACTTGAAAACTTATCAGTCTAATCGATCATCCTGCTGCAGCTATCGTCAACTTAATTAAATTAAATCGTACTAGTTTCTTCATAAGGATTAATCAGTTTTTGCTGCTCTAATTGACTTTATATTTTATTTTATACACGGAGTGTCGGAGTTGATTATTTTGATACCGAATTTGATACTGTGCATTAGCCTAACTATTCTGATATAGGGTGGAGCGGAGCAAAAAGATCTAATTTGACTTTCAGTAATCATACTGCCCAAACCAAATGAACTACATTACAGCACATAACACGCATCAAACAAACAACTATCGTACTATGTTCAGTAAAATTCCCAGTTAATTGTTAATTATAGAAATATGTTTATATATTTTTTCTAAATTTTGCCATCTGTTTCTTTTCACCTCATAGGCGGGGTTAAAAAAGGCAGCCAGTGAGCAAACAGATACAATGTCTTCTTTTTAATTTTAAAGGGATTTTACAAAATAATACCTACATCAACCAATGCAAAGTACAAATTTTGTGTGTTCATTTTTTTACAAAGATCACACTGTATATAATCTTCTGATATCTTGTCAAAAAAGATTTATCGGCAGAGTTGAAATAACTATTAATTTAATTTATCTTTTATTTATTTAATTTTTTTATCAGTTTTCATATTGTTATACCTTTTTTTGTGGTAGAGGTTTGTTTAGTTTGTTTTTTTACCCCATCCACATGTAAACTTTTATAGAGATTATGTAAAAAACCGGTTGAATATAACTTAAAAATAACTCAAATATAACTTAAATTATATCCAGGTATCATAAACTAAATAAAAGAGCTCAAAACCGATAAAACTACCAACGAGAAAAAATACTTTTGTTATAAAGAAAGCGATGTCGTAGGAATGAAGGTGATGAGTGGTAACACATCTTTTGCCTCACACTTTAAAGTAATATCGTTAAAAATTTTACATGTACTTTATTTGTTTTAGAGATAATGATGGTGAATCTTTTTACTTTTTGAGCCCCGCTCTACTCTAATATAGATAGTGTAATTGTAAACATCAATTTGCTGTTATATTTTTATTTCCGCATATCTTTAATAATCACTCTGTATTCGAAATTTATTTTAATCTTTTCTGTGTAGAGATAAGTTAATATGTAACAGTTTCGTTATAAATATGGTAGATGTATTTTGGTTTACTATTATGAGTTATTATTAGTTACGGTTTGGTATTATTATTTTATTGCAATTGTTTTTTTATTTAGATGGAATAAATTTATCACATCATTTGCTATTGGAGGAAATTGAGCAACAAACGAAACGAGATGAGAAATTGAAGGATATCGTTGCTACATTAACAAGTCCAAGATCTTGGAGAATAACAGGATCAAATAAAGTATTGGCAAATAATGAGAGAAACAATGCTAGAATTATCCAAGATACTCCCACGAGAGATGAAGGCCCAGAGGTATTATTTTTAAGCAATTTGTTATTTTACAAACACTTACAATTATTAATTGCAGGAGATTCAGAATATGGATATTAGCAAGAATAACACAGACAAGAAAATATCATCAATCATATCTAAAACATCCAAGAGAGATGGCATATCGCTTAATCGAATCAAACGAAAAGATCATATCGACGAACTTACATCTGACGGACATGATAGACAGGTAATTATTGCCTTTTATGTTATTTGTTCAGTTGTAAAAATATTTGTGGCGTTTCGAGATAACATTGATTCGATTGTCTTTTCTTAATAATAGATTCGCGGCGACCCCGATGGAGGACTTGATTTATCATCTTGTTATTCTCCGAATGCCGAACTTCGCGTCGAATTACCTTCAGAGGATCTGTTGAACATCAAGAAGGGATGGCTGATGAAACACTGCAGAACTGTCGGTCAAGAATGGAGTAAATATTGGTAAGTATCAATTAAGATTTACTTTTAAAATTTATTTCATTTTTTTTTTTGCAAACTATTTATTTAATGCATTACACAGGTTTGTACTTCGTGGAGCGGCACTGATGTTCTATCGTGATCCGACGGCGGAGGATCGACGAATTATGGATGGTGTTATAGATATTAATGGAGTTACTAATGTCGTCGAGATGCAAGTTGCACGAAATTATGGTTTTCAAATGACTGTTAGTATTATTTTGTTTTTCCATAAATCATGAATAAATCAAAATTTTCAATTCAGTTTATCTAACTATTCAATCATTTTTAATTACAGTGTTGGGATAATCGACGAATAATCTTGTCTGCTGTTACTGCTGGAATAAGAGCTAGTTGGATTTCCGCGATACGAAAAGCAGCGAATCTGCCTGACTTATCAACGTCTTCTGATCCAGACCCTTCTGTTGTTATAGGCGAAATAGTTGAGAAAGAACTCGGGACCAATTCGAATAATCAAAATATAACACTAATAAAGATTCCTTCAAATAATAATAGCCCTCTTAGTTCATTAAACAGCCAAAGTACTTCATTAACATCGCCAGGAAGCCAAATGTCTCCCAATGCGGACAGAGATAACGTATTTTCCACTCCCACTCCACACACGCCGTTAATTCCGCGATCTATAATGTTCTCATCGGACGAAGAATACAGAACAGCATCTGAAGGTTTGTTTATTTATTTCATTAGATACTATCAGCTGATACATTGATGTCATCCAAACAGATCTGATTTCACTAATTTCAATGATTTATTTATTACAGGTGGCCGTAGGGACAGTGTAGATTGGAACGAGCCCTTGCCGCCTTCACCACCTCTTAATCGTACTGCAATTTCGCGTGTAAAGGATCGAGCACGATCACGATCAAGTTCTAGAACTAGATCCTATAAACGCTCTAGATCAAGTCCACCTTCATCTCGAAGATCCACTTTGGATTCAATTCAACCAGAAGATTTAATAGTTCCTTGTGGTATTATTGAAGAAGGAAAACCCACAGAACATAATACCGTGAAGCTATTAGAACTTGAAGTAAAAGGACTTAAAGATAAATTAGAGGATAGAAGTTTAGGTCGTAAATATATTTCAGATCATTCAGCAAATATTGAATTAGAAGAACTGAAGAAAAAGTTAGCTATGGCACAATGTGATTTAAGAGATGCCGAGGATGAACTTATCAGATTGAAGGGCCTCAAAAATGAATCAATATTGAGAGAAAAACAAATGCAAGAATTGTTATTGACGTTAGAGAAAACCGAACGAGAATTAAATAAATGCTTAGAAGAAAATGAAGATATTCGATCCTTAAAGGAAATGTATAGGTATGATAAAAATGCTTGGGAAAGTAGTGTTTTAGAATCAGAGAAAAATCTGAAAGAAACTACTCAGAGGTGTGAAATTCTTGCCAAGGAATGCAGTATAAATCAAAGCATCATAAAAGAGTTGAGAATGGAAATTGATACATTGAATGAAAGATTAGCTAGAGGTATAGAAGAAAATGATGTTCTTTATAAAAGGTTAAGAGATTTGGATGGAAGATCTAGCAGCTTATCCTCATCTAGGGAACGAGGTCGAAGCATGGATTCATTAAGTGATTTGACTAACATTGATTTAGAAATTGATTTATTTCAAATGAATAAAGAAAGAATAATTGAGGAATATGATGAGTTACGAGGTCGTTTCGAGAAGGCCGTTTTAGAAATTAGAGCAATGAAAAGAGAACTTAGGGAGTCACATGCAATGTATGATGGCTTGGAAATTACAAACATTGGATTAAAAAATGATCTAAAACGGCTTGAAGATAATAATCAATCACAAATTGATCTTATGGCAGCTAGAGTTCAAGATTTAACACAAAAATTGAGTGCATCAGAGAAATACACTAGAACGTTGAAACAAAAGTTACAAAAGACAGAAAGTCGTGAGAAACGAAGATCTTTGTCATTAAAGGGAAGAGATTCGTTTGCAATTGGTAAAGAAGTAGAAGAAAAATTAAGTGAATTAGAGAATAAAATAATAGCCCTAGAAAGCAGTAGCAGTAGTACAGTGTCTGAAATATTAGTGAGTAAATCTGCATCTGAAGTGTTAAAAACCAAAAATGAAACAAACAGCGAAGATCAGTTATTAAATAAAGCTTCATCTAGAGTGCGTAGAAAATCACTTGATAGTGCGACTAACTCTGAACCAATGCAAGTTCTGCTTAGGCTCTCATGTTTAGAAAGTAAAGTAAATTCTGCTGTAGACCTTCAAGCGCCTTCACATATGGTCACAACATCTAGTATTGATTCTTTAAATATGATTAGCGAAAATTCAGAAACCAACAGTATTAGCTTGTCAGATTCAAAAAGGCATTTGGTAGAACGATTGCAAAGTTTAGAAAATGTTATTATAACATCTAAAGATAAAGTTTCTCAATGTTTAGACCAACTCCTGAATTTGAAGGCGTCTCGAACACGACGTTCAGTGTCACCATTGTCTGATCGAAAAGATGCAATGCGTTACATAGAAAAATGCTTGGCTGATGTGAATAGAATTTTAAAAGAATCTTGTGATAATTGTATAGTGAAAACAAACTCTGAACATATTAGTAAAATGCTGATCAAGTTAGAGAATCAATTGAAGGATAAGCTCAGTGAAATATTGCAAAAGAGAAATAGACTGAAGGCATCGTCACAATGGAATAAAACCAAAGAGTTAGAGCTTTTGGCAGAAAAAACTGCATATGAAATTGTTTATATCAATCAAATTCATGAAGCAATTCAGGGTGAACCTGATCAAAAGTTTTCTGATAGGTTATTGAATTTTGAAATTGTGGAAACTAGTCATGCTATTATTGAATTAAAATCTAAATTATCAGAAAAGCCGATGAGAGAATCTAAAAAGAGTGTATCTGCCATAGATGTATTAGCAAATGTTTTAACCAAAAAATTGTTGTTGCAAGGTACAGTTTATGATATTATGTCTACATCAGGTAATCCTGTGAGTTCTCCAACTCAGTCATCAGAGCTGCATTTATTGAAGAAACAACAGAAAGAAATTGATTCAGCAGTTCGAAGATTTAAAGATAAAAAATTAGAAGCTATTGCTCGAATTCTGATTGGTTCTAATTTTTCTGAAACAACTTCAAACCAAGTAAGTGATTTAACAACATATTATAGTAGGCTACCTGGACAACATATTGACAGCGCTTGGAAAATTGCAAAAGACATAGTTAGCTCAGAGTTAATAAAAAATGAGATTTCACAAGTGATGATGTGCTGCGCTCAGACATATCAGAGCTCTGTTGCATCAGACCTTAATCAAAGGGTTAGTTTTATAAAATCTCAACAAGTACAGCTTGAAAATTGGTCAGATGCCGCACAGCACATTTTAGAACATGAAATGGATTCAGCCATGAAACAATTAAATGGCTCTTTCCAAGTCATGTTAACAGAATTGCAACAAAAGAAAAGTCGATTGCCTTCAAATATTGATAGAATGAAGAATTCTGAAGAAATACGGAAATTAATTGCGGAATTAGCTGATGTAATGGCACATAAATCATTAATTGATTCAAAAATAAAATTGCTAACTGAAAATTATAAACCCAGTCAGTGTAGGTCATTAGACAGCGCATTGAATATAAGCAAACTTTTAGAATATGAAAACATGTTTAACATGCTTACAGAAGATTTAAATATTAATCCAGCTGATTTGGAACTGCAGGCGGATTTAAGTTTACTGAAACAGTATTGTAAAAATATAACATTTTCACAAAATGATAATGAATCATTTAAATATGTCACAAAATGTTTTCTTGATTTGGAAAAAATTATTATGAAATTGCAACACAGCTTAAGAATTAATAACAATAAAGAGGGTCCCACTGAATATGTTGATTTAGAATCTATAACTGATTGGGAAGGTGTATTTAAGAAATGCAATGAATTCCAAACCAGATTAGAAAGCCTTAGTTTATGTCTGCAGGGGCAGAATTGTGAAGAATGTAGGCAAAAACAGGAGACGGTGCAAAGGTATAGTTTTTATTATTATTATTCATAAATAACATTTACTTAAACTTTAATATTCTATTCCATAAATTATTCAATCATATTATCAATATGATTTTGTTTATGTAATATATTATCAATATATTATTAATATGATTTATATTTCTAGGCTGACATTTGAGCATGAGAAACAACTGAATCAACTTCAAAAGCAGCACAAGGAAGAATTAGAATCTCTTCGTATGGCGCTGACTAAGCAATATGAGGATGAACAAGCAAAATTGCAATCTGAACACAGTCAATTGAAACTTCTCGTTTCTCAGCAAGAGCAAGATCGAAATTCTTTAACGCAAAAATACGAACTTATACAGTCAGAATTGAAAGAGCGGGCAAGAAAGTTGGAAAGGCGATTAGGTACATTAGACTCGGAATACTCTCAGCAACTAGAAAATCTACGTGCAGCTTACCATAAAACCGTAGGAGCTGGTCTGGAGCGGGATATAGACAATGAAGAAAATTTGAGGCAGAGATATCAGGCTGAAATAGAGCAATTGAGGGTGAATATTAGAAAATTCTTTAAATAAAATCAATATAAAATATTTTAGAAAAAGTTGTCAAGTAATTTTCAATTATTTTATAAATATAAATTTTGTACTAGTACTATTTAAATATAACTATTATATACATATGACTTACGAGTGACCCGATATACGAGATAAGAGCTTTTGAGAAAAATGTTAATGGCAAAATGAAAATATGAAAAATTTTGTCAGTTGTAACAATTATTATTTTTTTACGGAAAAAAATGTGGCTATTTTATTATGATAACTTATTTTATAGTTAGCCATTTCAATTATATTTATCTCTGACATTATTTTTTCCTGAATCGAGTTGGAATTTAACTCAGCTCACAGACCTGCCCTAGGGCTTTATTATTATATAGCAATTATTATTATATATATATTATACAATTATATAGAATTTTTTTTTTCCTTTATTTATTAGGCATTATGCGAGAAGGGTCTGGTAGCAATGGAGAGTTCTCACAGGCGAATCATTGCTGAATTGGAAGAGAAGCATCGTGCCGAATGCGAGCAATTGGTCGCTGATAAAGAACAGGCGCTCAATGAAGAAACTCAAGCCACTTTGGCCGCATTGGATGCCATGCGTAAAGCTCATCAGAATGAAGTCCAACGCGAAATAACCAAATTTAAGCAGGAGTTCATCAAACAGATTCGGGTCAATGGCGATATGGGAACGTTGCACAAAGTTCAACAGTAAGTATTGAATCAATTTTAACTCATCATATCTGTTGGCTAAGAATTTATTTCAATTTTTGAGAACTGGTGATCTTACTTGATGCTACTGAACTTTGTTGCCATTAAAAAATCATATATGTTTGAAAAAAAAATTATTTAATTGTTTATAAGATTATTATTATTGAAATAAATTAAATTTATAATGATCATTGTCTTTCATATCATTATATCAAGAGATAAGTAATTCCATTTAGTGTTTAATATATCTTTTATAATTGTTGTATTTGTACTAGCCATTATTTTAAATTCATTGTTTTTTTTCAGAGTGGAGTTGGAGGAAATACGAAAAGAAATTATATCACTTTCTGAAAAATATTCTTCAAAATGTGTGGAAAGTGCTAGTCTCGAAGAAAAACTCTGTACAACTAATAAACAACTTGCCCAAGCACAACAACATATCATGCAATTAGATTCCAGGTAGATGAAACAAATGCATTTTCTTTATTGGTGCTTGTAATATTGATTACATTATTTTTTTAAAGGAATAAGCAACTTCGTGCTCATTTAGTATCAGAAGCTAGTGAGTTTACTCCAATTCAGCTATTGCAACCATCTGATGAACCTACACCAGTACTTGATAAATGCGTAAGTAATAAATTTTTGCTGTTTGCTTGCATGAACAAATATAATCTTTTAATATATCATTAGAGCATCACATATTTACCATGAATTTATGCTGAATTTTGATGATTTGCTAGGTTAACTTATACTGTTATCATCATTGTGTATGATCATTGTTGCTTCAAGAAGCCTTATGCATGAATTATTTGTGAGATATAATTATTAGTGCTTAAAAAATAAAACATAGTGATATTCTAAAGCAATGTCGATGCGTGTAAATTGCTTTAAAAAAACGCGACTGGTGTAGGCGACTAAACTATTAACGAATAAAATCATTTGGAATCAGTTTTCTCGCCCGATCTAGATTTTATACACATTTGAAATTGAATGAAGACGTCTAATTTGGCGAGGTAGTTTTTGGAGCTTCTTAATAACCATGGTCAAAATGATTAGTTCAACTTAAATAATTAAAAAAAAACGTCAAAGCTCTGCTGTAGGTACTAAAATACAAGTGATGTTGAGTTAGGGAGGGGAATAATTTTAAATATTACCATGTATTCTCAAGTAAGAGGAGGTAAAAATCCTTGAAAAGCGATCAAGTGATTAATGGGCGCCCCTTTAAAAGCAAACGGATAGTATGATAGAGAATAATTGTATGAAAATATTAAAAATTAAATTTTAAAACAACTTGCAATTACGTTTTTTGTATAACAATATAAATATAGTATAATTCGGTTATTTAAGTCGGACGTAGAAACTATTGAAAAACGTGAACTAATTAATTAAAGTTCTGGCGCACAACTCATCGAACTACTTATGTATAAATAAAATGATATGTCTTATATGATTGTTTTCAATGTTGTTTCACTAACAGCATGTACAAAGAATTGAAGGTCAGTCCAGAATGAAACCATCTCTGAAAGCAACAATAAATAACAAAGCAGACGAAGCACAGGGATCGCATGCGAATGCACAAAATAAGCCCTCTGACCGACTGTACAAAGGTATTTGCTCGTTGCACAGCCTTCTTATCCGAACAATATTATAATTTAAGTTATATATATATATACATATATGGTGTATGGTTTGATTCGGGGGCTCTAGGAAATGTTCTCTGAATTGCAATTAACATATTCGGTATCAGTTTTTAATGGTTGGCTTTCGTTATGATAATAAACCCACAAAGATATGAAGCACTGCATATATTAATGCATTGAAACACTTGGTGAATGGTTTTGTGTCTTTAGTAAATTAGTAATGGCTTAAAAAATAAGGCATGGCACATATTCATATTCGTATTTTAGTTGTTAATTTCATAGTTAGTCAATTAACTTGCAAACTTGCTCAAGCTTATTACCATTGCATTTATTATTTATTATAAAATGCAATTAAGTTATTAATATTAACCATGGTCATATATGCATATGCATAATATGCATATTATTTATACCTAGTTATTTTCTTTGCGATTGATAAAAATTATTCAATGATGAACTGGTATAGATTTAATCTAAATATTTACTAACTAACTGTTCAAATAATAAATAAATAATTTTGGGTAAAATTTAGCATAGTCATGTTTAAATTTTATCGCTCAACTTTTGAAAACCTTTTCGTATCTCATGCCCGTAACATTGAGACAAACGATTCAAATTGTACTTTACAAATATATGTAATATACAGTATTAACTTTTATTTTGATAGTTTGCTATAAATCGACGTATAACCTTATACCTTCATACTGTTAGTCTAACATTTAGTGTTATTATTATTATTAACATTTTCTTATGTAGCAGAATGACCTAGAGAATAAAATCTTGATTTTTCATTAACTTGACTGGCATTCCACTTTACGTCTATTATATATACAAAGTAGACTCTCACTAATGCAACACTTCGATAAACCGACACTTCCACTAATCCGCCACTCTCGCGACCGATTTTTTTTTAAATTTTGGGATAAATTTGGAAATTCTAATATTATTTCTAATATTATATGTTGAAAATTTTGACTTTTTCACTATAATACAGTAATTCTCCGGTTTTTAATAGTGGCGGATTAGCGAGAGTCTACTGTATATTTGTCTGCTTCAAATAATTCACTAATTTCTATTATAATGAATAATATCTATATTTCATAATTAGTATTGTTATTATTATGATTATTAATTAATCACCTATACATAATATTAGTTAAAACGCTTTTATAATTGATTAATCATTGGTCTATTTTGAATTATTAGCAAAGAATGATGTCATTCTTTGCTCTGGAATGAATCGAAGTTAAATTACGTGACACAAATATTCTAAACTAATCCAATTTGATATGTAGGGTAAAGCAAACTACAGCACAATACATAACACCTTTGAAACAAATTGAACTATGATGAAAATAAGCAAATTTCGAGTTAATTAATCATTGTACAAATATGTCTTTTTGAATTTTTTCTTAACTTTATCATGTGTCCCTTTTTGTCCCGTAAGCGAGTTTAAAAGGGACAACCAGGAGGCAAAAAGGTACAATGTTATATTTATAATTTTAAACCGATTTTACGGAAAAATAGCTACAAGTTGAACAAGAAAATTTAAAAAATATTAATCGGAATTCACTTTCTTATTGCGGCGGGATAATTCTTTACTTATGGTTCATTAAATTAATTGTAGTGATCCATACCAAATAATAATCCACTTTTACTACAACCATAAATCTCGTATTGGAATGTATTTCTCTTATAATTTTAATTTATTAATTTATTAAGTTGAAAACAACTTGTGTTTGAAATATGCATTTTATATGCACATATTTTACTAATTGTAAGAAGAAGGTTATAGAAAAAAAACTTTAGAATATAACCTAATACCTTCCACTCGCGAATTCCGAGATTTATTTGAATTTTGCCGCGGCATCCGAGTCGAAAGGGTTATATGTAACAAAACATCTTATCTGCTTATCTCCTAATAGCGTTAGGAATTAAGGTGATGGCTGGTTATACATCTTTTGCCTTCTACTTTAAAATAGTATCGTTTGAAAACGTCTGTACTTGTTTTTGAGATAATGGTGAAGAACTTTTTTACCTGCTCTACCCTTTTAAATAATTCTGAGACATATCTTATTGTTAGTTTATTGAATTATATTAGTTGTAATAAATACTATTAAAAATGTTAAAAAATGCATGAAACGATTTGACAATTAGTTTTGAAATAGGGTTGATCGGGCTTAGAGGTCCGCGGGTAAAAAGGTTTACGACCAATATCTCAAAAACAAGTAAAGTTAGGAATTTTTTAATAACAATATTTGAAAATTTATAACAAAAGTATTTTGAAATAAAAGTCTTTCGTTGTTAGTTTTTTTATTTATTGTGAGCACTGTTGTTAAGTTCACGAAACCTTAATATACTTTATAAGTTATTTAATTGTTTTGTAAGATGTATTGTTAATTTCAAGTTTAATTCAATTAATGTTTTTATATAACAAACATAATAGCTTACATGTGGGTGGGGTAAAAAGGACCAACTGAACCTGTACTCCAGTAAAAGCGTTAACAATAAAAAGAGTATATAAAAATGTAAATTCAGTTAATAAAAACATTTTTACAAGAAATAAATTAAATTAATAGTGCAACTCTGCAGATGAATATTTCTGACGAAATACCAGATCAAGTTTATATACAGTGTTATCTCTATAAAAAATGTGCCCATGAAATTTATATTTTGCGTTAGTTGAATACTGTAGCTAATTATTTCGTAAAATCTCTTAAAATTTAAAATAAGACATTGCGTCCGTTTGCCCCTTGGCTGTCCCAATTTACACCGCCCGCGGGGTAAAAAGGACAAATGTTTGAATAATAGCAAAAACACATTTGTACAATGATGTATTAGCTGGGATTTTTACTGAACCTAGTCAGATAGTTGTTTGTTTGATATGTGTTATTTATTATGTTTTATAATTGGCTTGGTTTTCACAATATTATTGGTCAAAATCAAATTGGACTTTTGCTCCTCGCTCTACCCTATGCAATAATCTAAACTTGTAATACCCTGTCCTATCCTGCCTTGCCCGGCCCTAGCACCAATGTCTTAATATCAATTAATCGAATCGATCGATGATTAATAGTATAATGTGTAAAATTGATCAGGGCTGAACAAATCGTCGGCTCGATGTTCGCCGGCACTGTTATCGTCGGTGGCGTTTGCTGCGCGGCAATCGGCTTCTCCTCCCTGTCCTCTAGTCGGGATGGTCGCAGAGCGCAAGAAGAGATTCCAGCTGTGAGACACCAAGCGACTACTCTGTAGCACTGTTTAATTACTTACTTTCGCATTTTCATTTTGGCAAATAATATACGACGAGATTGCGAGTTTGCTTTCATAGTTATGAAATATCTATCGATTTAGATATATAACTAGTATCTTAATTCAAAATGATTTTTTACTGGATATACGCAGGTATTTCAGAGCGGTTCCAATGTCGCATTTTTAAATATGTTGGCTGGCAAACAGTATGATATTAGCGAGAACCTAAGTTGATTATCTCTTTATAATGCAAACGTACTTACCATCTAATGTTTATTGTATATAGATAGATTATTTTCAAAAGTATTCTATAAGATAATTGCCGTACTGTTAATAATTTAGTTACGTTTATAATTATTTTAGATAAACACCAAAAATGTATTTTAGTTCTAAAGACCAGATAAAATCTCAATATTTATAAAAGCCTACTCGCAAATTCTTAACGAAATTTGTTTAAATTCATTAAGGTTAAGCGTGAGCTTTTAAAATACGTATTCATTTATCTCCAATGATTGCTCATGTCTTCTCCTCTTTCATCGACCAAATTTAAGTTTTTGTGATATTCGAAAAATGCAAATTGAAAGCATAAATTGCTCAGTTCTACAAGTATTACAATCGTAGTTGCTACAAATGAAATATTATACTCATGATCAATTTTTATTAAAACTATAACATAGTCATGTATATTACTAATATATTTCTCGTGCAGAATTCATATCTTTTACGAAAATATAACTTACATATTAAATATAAATCTAATCAATTATCAATATAATACTTAGTGTAATTGTATAATGTTTGACTCTATTTTCTATATTGTCTTATATTTTCAGCCGTTTCTAAGATTTTTTGTAATTATATTGTAATTAACATTTGTTATATTATATACTTTACAACATTAGTTGTAATAAGATCAATATCGTATGTATAAACTATAGAGAAAAGAATAATTTCGTTATAAAAATTAGCACTTTATATACGTTTTTATGAATAGAGTAAAATTGTTCGGGTGGTTGATTTCTAAAAACTGTTATGAAAAATCAATTTGTTAGACATTACTTGATTGTTTTGTCATGACTGTTAATTTTCTGTTTTGCTCACCCACCTTATTTAGCGTAAATTGTTCATGTATATATTTTCAATTATATATAAATCATTTAGAGTATTATGAAATGAATAATTATTATTTATGTTACCTTATAAATATATATATATATATATATATATGTGTTATTGATATAATAAATACATGCATGTTTTGAATATTTATATTTTGAGAATAGTTTTTGTGTCTTTAATTTACAGTCAATATTTAGTAAATGTTGTTACATTGACATACTCTATCAATAGTTTTAATTTCGAATAAAATATTTATATAAATGTTCCGTGATAAATATTGCAAGTGCTGCAATATTACCATAAATCAATACTTCAAATCCCACTCTTACTTCTTTTCTTTGTAAAGCCCTGGCAGGAGCCGAATATTTGTTGCAACTCCAACTATATGGTCTGATGTAAGCATTTCTTAATTTTTGTATCATTCCACTTTGCCTTATGTACTTGATTTGTCGATCAATTTCTTTTCGAAAAAAAGATCCGGGAGCAAAATACATGACGAGTGACGAATATTCTACGTCGCCCATTGTTGTTTCCAAAAACCCTTCACGAGAATGCTGCTGGTTATAAAATTGAATAATATCTTTAAATCTATAACTGACATATTTATGCTTTGATGATAGCAACATTTTGAAAATATCAATGCTTCTATTTACATAAGCGGGCTGAATCAGCCGATTTTTGCTTTCAAAAACTTGCTTATAGCTATCGTGTATTACATACTTATATCCTTGAGCTACCATTTCTTCTTCAGAATGAGGTATCGGTTCTTTCGTATCTCCTATCAGGAATTTCACGGATGCACCTTGATAAGACATTCTGAAGATGAATGTTGTTAATATCCAAACCAGCGCCATGTAGCGCGTGATAAAAGTTGGCCAGATTGGAATAGGATGCCCTAAAAGCGCAGCATACAAGTGGAATAAAGGATAATTGTTTCCTTCGCCGAAGACTAAATCGTAGTATGGTCCAGGTAAATATTTCACAACAGTTATTATCGCGCAGCCTATCGATATGAATATGATCAAGATCAACCAAACTTCACCTCTTATAGATAAGTAAAGTCTGGCCCAAGAACTGACAAGATCCCGCGCAGACACTACCCAGGATAATGCTGCTATGTAATGCGATCTGGTGAATTCGAATGAATCTATTGCCAATGTAATTAATTCATTATAGCCAATTGAGCAGTCGACGTCACGTCTTTCTAAACTTCCTAGACCCCACGTATACGATCCATTTTGATATCTGACATTTCTTGTTTCGTTCGGTTGCGTATAAGCTACTATGCATGTTAAATTTAGTTTTTCACAAATTAAACTAAGTATATCTCCCTCCATTCCAGACATTGTGTATCTTTTCTTTGTATTTACTGGTTTCAAATTCATAAAAAATGTGTAATTGAGCGATGCTATTAGAAACGGGTGACCGTGAAAGTTCTTCGTTTTTGATGAAAACATGTTATATTTTAAATATGCCATGCTGCTATTACATTCGCCAGTAGGATAAATTGTTTCGCCTAAAAATGGATTGTAACTGTATACATCAATACCGCTTTTAGAATTGTGAGTGATGAAATTTACGTTAATTATTCTAAATCGCCAGCAAATATCTTTTAGTTCCCGTACAGTTGCCAATACGTCAGGATTTATATCAGTGATAGCGATTAAAAATTTTCCATCGAATGCATATTTGTATTGACTCATTTTGCTTAAAACCTCATGAAGAGTGTATGCTCTCTTTATTAGAATTATCATATGATATATTCGAGGCAATGAAAACGTTTTCAAGAGTTCACTATTAAGGTTTGCTGATGGATATTTTTCTACGATAACCGTGAATTCGGCTCTTTCCATAATGTGCCGAATAACACCTCCATTTCTATTCATTGCACTGATAATAGTAATATAATCAATTTTTGGATAAAATTTGGTTACGATTTCGTTAATACATGAACCAAGATTTACTTCAATTTGTTGAGAATCCTTTGATTGACTTGCAAAATAAACAAAAAATAAAAATAATTTAATTTTTAATACTGTTTTGCCATGCATGACTGTGTATTTTCTGTATGCCCAATGACGGACTACTTCTTACATTCATTTTTGTTTGTTTTACTTAATCTTTGTGCAAATGGAAATTTAATTCTATAATATTACGGATATCTTTCATGAGTTACATGTTACAGCTGCTAATGTATCGATAAATGTGATTGATGTCCTCGCACGTCTTGGCAATTACCTTAAGGTAGTCTTTACATTAAGTTATGATTCGAATATATATATTTCGAATTAAATGGAATACAATGGAAATCATACGTGTTTATTTAAGCATGGTATGTTACACTTTACACGTTTGTTATACAAATTCATGCCGTCTACGATTTTTTGAAAATTTGGTTATATAATTGCTTTCTGAGCAAAAATTACATCAAAATTATTTTAAATTGTATTTATCCGTGGTTTATTACTAATAAATCTAATAAATTATTAGATTAATTAATGAATTATTAGATGGATTCATGCGACAAAATTGGCACTTCTATTTTTTTTTCTTGAACATTTAAATCTACTTGGAATTGCACGCTGATTTCAAATATACCTTCCGTTTTTTCGTAACAGCTCCAGTTTTTTAGTTTTAGGGGATTACTCCAATTAGTCATTTCGGCTATGATCATTGCAGTTTAACGAATAAATAAGAGTTTTTGGTATGGCTTTGAATCTAAGACGTTGTGTGCATAATTCGGGTAGTTTTTGTTACATCTGTGTATATTAAACAACATTTTCGACAAATACTGGAAACTCAAACTGCGTAACAACATCGTATTTCAATTACTTCAAAACTAAATTGCGAAATAAAGATAGAACATGGGTTTTTCATACTATATGAAAAAATTGCGTAGGTTGTTTACGTTATTATCCAGAAGAAAAAAGAAAAGGAAATTTTAATACCACTGTCATTTAAAAAACCTTCAGAATCACGACGACGGTTGTTTCTTCTATTTGATAAATATCAATGAAATATCAGGCAATAGAAAAAATGGTTATAAACCACGACCCCAATGGTATTGAGGTCTACTTATGGTCAGCTACACCTGTTCATGCTAATGATGAACAACCTAGAACTTCAACATCTCCAGCCTACCAAGTAATAGATGCAGAAACCAACGTTAAAAGAGAAGACACGAAGAATTAAAAACTGATATATTTGATGTAATTGATTTGAATTCATCACCCGCACTCTTATTTAGAAAGGTTTTCGGAAAATGTTGGACATATTAGCGAAGGGCTGGGCATAAGTATTCACCAAGACATCAGGACTTTGAAGGAGCGATATCAAGGAATATGGGACTTCCACATGATGGCCGACAATTTTGGAGCTTATGATAAAATCAGTTAGGCCTTGTCCATGCTTGAACATCATATGAAAAGACTTTTGAAGGCATAAAATGAAATATGTTGTATTTTATATGGTAATGTGTGGTAAAACTAGCATATTGTTATATCTGAAAAACTAAACCTGTTAGGAAATTTCTGTTACTGAAAAAAATTTAGTGTCGCGCAGCGCAATATGTGTTATCAGAACAATTTTTGTTTTCTCCAATAGGATTTTCTCGAAAAGTTTTTAAGCACTTAAAAAAGAAGTATGCTTTATATGTAGTTCTAGTATAATTTCTGCATCTATTAAGTGAAGGGGATAATAGAATTGCGCAAAGAATTTTTTGTTTTAGAAATGAAGTTAAGACGCTAAATATTACACCATGAACTAATTTCTATACATATATACATCACATGAGATATGTAAATATACAAATTTTGATCGAATAATTTAATATATATTAAAAAAAATTATTTATGTAATATTAGTATTATATATTTAGTTAATTTATAAAAATTGTGGTTGGTACACTTATGAATTTCTACATAAAAATATCCTTATATATACATATTTATATATATATATATATATATATATATATATATATATATATGCTAATCTACATGGACTATTCGTACATTATTTCGACATTTATAATTAGCAAGTTCTATGATAAATATAAAAATACTAGTAGAAGCGCCTATGATATATATAAGAAAATGACCTGTGAAATGTTTTAGCAAAATTGTAACCGGTTCATCATTGACGAAGTGTTTTTTGACTTCACCGATCGATTTAAAATATTTCTTTATAAATTTTTCCATCAGGCCCGCACTGTTGATTATTCCTATTACAGAATTGAAGAGTTCGCTATAGGGCGATGATTTTTCTAAATACATGACTACGGGCAGAGTCTGTATAACTTCATCGGCGATGGGCACGACTCCTAAATGCAAATTGTTTTGATTTTCTTCAGCAATAGATTCACGGATGAAAGGCAAAGCAATTTTATGTGCACTACTAGTTGATCTTAAATATTTGTACACTATGTTAATGTCAATTTGTACTGTTTTGAAATTCGGATAAAGTTGAGCTACTTCGGGAATGCTGTGAACATTTATTACAAAACTATAATCCTCATCTTCCATTTCTTGTTGAGTGTTCGGATGAGTGATGTGAGTGTCGCTTGTGAGAAATTGGACTATTCCGTCTTGGTAAGATGCTCTCAGTATTGAAAAAGACAATAAAAATATTACCATAAAATATCTAAAGAATTTTTGGTCGACTATACGTATTTGCTGACCGAGCAGTAAAGCTATCATATTACTAACTGTGTAAGAATTGTGAACAAAGTAACTAAAGGATGCACCATATCGACGTTGATAATATTTTCGTATGGCTGTGATTCCTATCACCAAAATAACGAATAAAATAACCAGTATTATCCAAACTGAAGTTTGAAAAGGATAGGTCAGACGATTCCATGGCCCATCTGTAATTCTATTGGAAACTGCCCATACAACATCCGACGTGTGATATCCCTTAGTGCAGTCAAAGGCGATCGCTCTTTCCGATGTTATGAAAAAGCCACCCACTGCTACATTAGCTTTTCCTATGTCCAATAAATGCAGTAAGCCAGTGAATGACCCATTTCTCAACTTGGACCCCCATGGATTTCCATCTTCCGAAACAAGCACTTTTATGGTGAAATTGTAAAAATCCTTCAGTAATAATATTATTTCACTTTCTATGCCGTATATATTGTATCCGCCTTCGTGATTGTTCTCTAATTTCATGAATAAAGTTTCGTTGTTAGCTGCGAACGATATAGGACATCCATGCATATTTTTGACTTTCGCAGAAAATAAATCGACATTGTTCTGAAAACTATTATTCGACCAATAGTCACTTAATTCGACTCTCACGTGGTCGCAATAGTGTCTATCAAACAGGTTGTTTGCATAAGCGCTCACACCACCGGAGCTCGGGATCAATAATATAACTTTCCATATCTTATTTTTCCAGCATTCGGCTAACATGTTATTTATTTGCACGAGTCTCAAACTATGTTTCACCACGATTAACATTTTTGTATCCGGTGCGAAATCTTCGCGTTTGGTACCGTTCAAAAGATCCCGAAAACATTCTTCGGAGTTTGCAAAAATTATCAATTGTGTGGACTGTTTAAGCACTTCAGGTATATTATAATATTTGTTACTATGATAATAGATATAAAATGGCGTTGTCAATTGTAAATTTAAGAAAAAAAATTCGATTTCATCCAACTCGGTATAATTCAATGTGACACCAATTAGAACTACGGGTTTACTTGCATCAAAGTGCTTATGAAGGACTTGATTTGCACAAAGAATTAGTTCACTTGCATTTTTTGATGTTAGAATTGATACATTCACTTGACACATAATTGCTATTACCAACAACTTTAACATAATTATTTGAACAGAATAAAATTAATTGAAGAACAAACACAACTAGCAATTAGAGAAAAATTTCTACGTAACATCGCTGTATTTAACATACAGCAGTTTATTCTTTCATATAACATTATCTTTCTAATTGCAGTAACTTTGTCTTAATTATTTCCTATTGTGGTTCTCGTCAAGCAACATTATATTGCGATCAAATATTCTATTCAACAGAGGCGGGACATGCTCGATTAACTAGTGTATTAAAAAGTATTTTGAAAGTAAAAATTTGATAACCTGTTCATTTTTTATATTCATATTTATATAATATTCAAAACTGATATGAAACATTAAACCTAAATGTTTTTTGAAATGTCGACAAAATCATGTTCGCCCAATTTGAGCCATGACTCAACGTTTGGGACTTGAGCCAGCACAAAACAGTTTCAGGTTGGATCACAACCTTGAACAAGCTCGATATCAAGTAGTATGGTATCAAATTTTCACTTGAGGTTATAGATCTCAAATATAATATCAAGTGAAAATCACATTACGCTGGCATTGCTGCATCACAGACAAATTAACACTATTAGCTACTTATATCCAATATATAGTACATTATATAACAAAGAAGTGTGATTAACCACTGGGTTGCCTTCTCGGAGAAAATAACAGATTAGGAATGTAAATCAGCAAATATAGTTTAAATATCACGTCGTTCTGAACGCTGTTAAGAATAAGAAACAAAATATTCGGTTAAAATATATAACTATAAACAAAAACAGTTTTTCATTTATTGATAATATTACTTATTAGTTCAGTTTTAGTTCACTCAGCTTAAATATGGGCTTAATAAGGTGTTAAATCGTAATATTATTACTGTATGAGCATAGCAAAAGCATATAGTATAGTAAAATAGATGAAAATATTTAATTTTGGATTTAATATCATAAAAATCGTTTCATTAATATTATTTTGATGTCTCTGAGATCTGATAAAAGAAGTAAAAAAATGCCATTTGGCGATCAAAAATGATCATTAGATATATGCACATCAAATTATCATATATTTTATGGAGATTTTAA